AAGAGATTGTTCGTTCTGAATATCAGCGAGCAATGGAGAGTGTATTTTGACATTGGTGTTGGCGATAATATTGACTTCAGGAATAATAGGGAACAAAGTATCCTCTGTAGAGGTGGTAGGTTCGTGCTGACGTGACAAAGCGTCTGCCTTAGTGTTCTTAGAACCAGGCCTGTAAGTAAGCACATAATTAAAGTGTGTAAGGAACATAGACCAGCGTGCCTGCCTGGCAGATAATCTTTTGGCCTCCCCCATATACGATAAATTCTTGTGGTCAGTCAAGATAGTAACTGGGAGGACGGTGCCCTCTAACAAATGTCTCCATTCCTTTAATGCCATAATGATAGCTAAAAGTTCTCTATCACCAATGTCATATCTCCTTTCAGTGTGTGATAGTTTCTTGGAAAAAAAACCGCAAGGGTGCAGCGGCTTATCTAAACTTTGTCTTTGGGATAACACTGCGCCTATCCCTGTTTCAGACGCATCAACTTCAAGTAAAAAGGGTAGAGAGGTATCAGGATGAACTAATACAGGTGCTGAGGCAAAAGACTGTTTGAGCGTTTCGAAAGCAGATAAAGCCTCAGTAGACCAGGTTTTGGTATCGGCTCCTTGTTTGGTCATATTAGTGATAGGAGCGATAACAGAGGAGTACCCTTTAATAAAACATCTGTAATAATTAGAAAATCCAAGAAATCTTTGTATGGCTTTGAGTCCCTTAGGTAAAGGCCAAACTAAAATCGATTTTAGTTTGGTCGGGTCCATCATAAACCCGTCTTTGGAAATTACGTAACCTAAGAAAGTTACCTGAGACTGGTCAAAGCTACATTTTTCCAATTTACAATACAATCCATGTTGTAAAAGTTTCTGTAATACCTTTCTGACTTGTCTATGATGTGAATTAATGTCTCTAGAATGGATTAATATATCATCCAAATATACAATTACACATTCATGTTGGAATTCTCTAAGAACTTCATTGATCAAGTCTTGGAAGACGGCCGGGGCGTTACAAAGCCCAAACGGCATTACGGTATACTCATAATGCCCGTAACGGGTATTAAATGCTGTCATCCATTCATCTCCTTGTTTAATTCGCACTAAGTTATATGCTCCTCTTAAGTCAAGTTTAGTAAAAATAATCGAGCCCTTTAGTCTGTCAAGTTTGCATTAAACATTTTGTCTGGTGAAGAGGTTGAATAACTGCACATCTAATTGTCATGAATTGAAGATGCAATTGCAAATTATACTCTAAAATAGGCCAGCTCTGACATTAGCTGTCATGTTGCCTAGACCAAGCTTCCATTCTCAAGCCACCTCATGTTGTGACACTGTGCATCATTTCAGGGAATACATTTGTGACACTAGACACTTTGTTAGACCACTGTTTTATCCACAATAGCTTACTGCCTTTGGTGTCATCCATGTTAGTTTTCACTTGCACTTCCACATTATGACATCATAGCATAGTGATGGCCAACCCTGACACTACAAACTGCCCCCGGACCACACTTCCCATGACGCTCAGCTAGCCCCCAGAGTCTAAAAGCTAGCCGAGCATCATGCAAAATGCAGTCCAGAAACAATCCACGGTGTCAAGGTTAGCCATCATTGTCATAGCATCATGACGTCACCAACGAAGGTGGTGGGTTTAGAATGTCTGGTAGCCATTTTGGTATGCCCAAAACACAGTTAAACGTTTCTTACCTGCCATATTGTCAGGAAACTGACAGGGATCCAATACGCAGAGTGCGCACAGAAGGAGGTACGTATACCGGACCTTAGAATGGCCGGACTAACGTAAGGACAAGCAAGAATAGTCAAAAGGTAAGCCGAGGTCAAGGGAGCCGGAGGACAGGTAAGCGAGATACAAGCCGAGTCAAAGGAGAGGAGAGGACAACAGGACAAAAGACAAGCAAGGGTCAAAACCGGAAACACAAGATAAAGAACGCGCTGAGTGACTAGCAAGCTAGAACCACGACAGGGCAATGAGCAGTAGTAAAGGTTTCCTTTAAATACCCTGTACCTAAATAGAGACCACGCCCCCAAAAGGTCCGGAATAGCGGTTCCCGGCACTTTAAGCAAATGCCGACGTCATGACGTCGACGCTAGCCGTCGCGTCATAAAAGGGGGAGGAGCTAGCGCGGCCGGCGCGAAAACGGCCGGAATATGCCGAAATGCTAAGGGAAGGGAGCCCCTAAGCAGAGAGGATGTCCTCCCTGGATACATCACCAACAGGTACCCTGACACCGTTTGAATGTGCGCGCAGCTCTGGCCGCGCATGCGCATTTGGAGCTGACATCGGTAGGGGGAGGAGAGTTCATCAACGCCGAGGAAGCCCGGCGATGGATTAATGTAAGTGGCTGAAGGGGTTTTAACCCCCTTAGCCCAGCGGGAGGGGGGCTCCGAGGTAGGGGGTGGGGACACACCTAATAACCCTTTAGTGCCAGGAAAACTAGTTTGTTTTCCTGGCACTATAGTTATGCTTTAAGTGTTCCTGTTTCTAGGAGGATCATTCAAATCTGGAAACAATTCTGAAACCTATGTTCAAAAATATTAACTATGAAAAGAGTTATTTTTTCAATGTCTATTTGCCATTGCATGCAAGCATTCTATTCTGTCTGCTTGGGTTTAACAGTTGTCATAATATGATTTTGTGATTTTAAGTGCTTAGTGAATCTAGATTTCAAGACCCTTCTAGAGTCAAGAGTATTCTTCAGTGATTCTTCAAATGTTAGACTAGCCCTTTTAATGTGATATTTACTATAAAATGGCCTTAACTTATATAATCCACCAGCGACCCTGTTTACCACACAAGATGTTTGGGACTTTATGGGAGTATAACTCGAATATATCGCATCTTTAGGCAAACTTGGTGTGGTGGATACCACCAAAATCTTGTGTAAAAATCCACACTAAAGACTATAACACTACCCTGGCTCTCTGGTCCCCCTCCCCTCCATGTGGAATCAGCAGGCGCCTCTCTCTGTCCCGTTCTCAGCTACTACCACAAGCAGGAGTATCCAGAACTCTTCAGCTGGACTTATCTGTTTTTCCCCTGGAACGCCGGCTTAGCCACGAGTATCACCTTCGCCTGGTCATATTCCATCCTGGTCTTCACCCCTTTCCCAATGCCCAGTGAGAGTGCTCTTTGGAGGGAAGTTACAGTCCATCAGAAGGGATTATCACTACCTATGAGGCAAGTAGGGGCTCACCTACCCTAACCCACCAGAGACCCTGTTAAAGTACCGATAAATTACCATAATTGCCTGGAACTAATTTCAACTAGGAACAGGCTAGCGGTCGGGCTAAACTTTAACGGGGTGGTGTTTCCACTTACCTCCACGGATCAAGGCTCTAGTTGGACAGCTTGGACGCTCCATCTGGCACATAAGACTTGTGGAGATTGAGACTGTTTTCCATGTAATTTCTGTGTTTTTCTGTGTTTAGCTCTCTGTATCCAGGAGATAATTAATTTAGCGAGAGAAGACTAGATTATCTCCCAGACACAGAGGGGCCTGGACGGGGTCTGTATGTATTGAATGGAGACCCCATGCTGGAGTCTGTGCATAAAAGGCTTCATTCAGTACAATAAAACTAGTTGTTCTTCCCAGCATCATGTGTCGTCCGATGTCTGGGGAATGGAGTTATAATCATTGAAAGGTTCCTGTGCCAGTTGAGAAGAGAAACTAGCGGAGGTATCTAGTCGGGATACCAGAGGTCCGCAACACTTGGTACAAGCAAGACAGTCTCACCTTAATGTGTTTTTTTAACTTATTTCTTTATGGTTCACAAAGAACCTCTTCCTGGCAAGGTCATGCTTTTTTAGCATGGCCATCACTTTTTTTATTAGTGCAGCTAGCAAGTGTGGTTAGTCTGACTTAATTGTAAACCATTTTCTGCCCATGAAGGGAGATTTATATACTTACAACATATACCATAACAACAACAAAACGTACGCATAACATTCAATAAGCAAAACTATTCCTTTCTTACCACAGTCATTTTACACTAATACCAGTTTTCTTAAAAAGGGTGGCTTACCTCATTTACTATTGGACCAGTCTCAGTTAAGCTGCTCAGCTTCCAAGATATTGGAAACCCAGATGAGCTCCAGTTATTAAAGATTTGTCCATCACAAAGACAGAGGACCACCAGATTCTGTTAGAAACTATAGGCTTATATACTAAGTGAAGTGTTAATGCATAATATCAGAGGGGAGACGTAACAAAAAATTCTGATATTATGGTAAATGATAATAAATCATTTCTGATAAATAAATCAATAACAATAAGACGTGCACCTAAAATTAACCAATTCGATAACGGTATATTTTTTTGCAACAGCCTAAAGGTGTAATCTTTTTGAGGAACTGAGAAAGGTTCAGTTAGCAGGACAGAACTGGGGGGTGGAGGCTCAGATTTTCTCAGAGAGCAGGAGAGTACAGGTATTAGTGTGTTTGCTGTACAAATGATTTTGACAGCAAAGGGGGGTCATAGAAATGTTTCATTCGGCACCAGTGGAGGAAGAGCACTGGTGCCGAATAATGACAGCAATTTTGGAACTCGTTTTTTGAAGTAACTGTGTGCAAGAACTGAAGATATCCTTAAGCAGTAACATATTTCAGAAGTCCTTTTACATGAGCGACTCACTGAAAATGAACAGTTGTGTTTGCCAGAAGCATGTGGTTTACACAGAAACAAGACGATGAAGACAAATTTAAAAACCTATAGTTCAGTTTCTCACACAAACATTTACTGTATTGAAGGAGTTTCTTTTTCTCTTATTGTCAGGTAAAGGCGGTGCTGGGTAACTTGATATTTACTTTCTTCATAAATGCAGCCGATCCCTTCTTCACCTTCAGATAACTCTGGAAAGCCATCTACTCTGTCAACCGACAGCTGAAGATGCAAACATCTTGTAGTTTTGAAATAGTCACTGAGACAGTCCAAAGCTCTTATTATTGTTCATTAATGGCAAATAATAGAAAATCAATTGGCAAAATATATGTTTGGTGACACTTTTATTTATTACATGTGGCACAATTTTTCCATGGTCACATAATTAGCAATACCAGTCATAATGATAGATAAGCATTAACATATCAAATCATAGCAAAAGCAGAGTTACATTTCCAACTAGTGAAATGAAGGGAAAAGGCACATGAAAGAAGACAATACTTTGACTTTTAAGAAGAATGGCTGGAGGCCTATATGTAAGATCAAGTATTAAAGAACCAGTTTTATTGGCAGCCGGAAACAATGTGTCAAATGTTGTCTGTCATACATCGGTGGCCTGTCACTGCTGACTTGAATGTTGGACGTGCTTCCTCAATGCGAAAAACACATTTTTCTACCTATGTTGAAAGGAAAAAGGTTTTAATTAATCACAGTACAATCAATAGAATTGATTCATTTGAAATCCTTAAACACAAAACTATATGGTCTGAATGGATTAAGACTTTCAAATCGGGCTCTGAAATTTAACCCTGGCATTAATCCTTTTAAATGTCCATTAAATCATCAATACTGTTCGAAATTATCAGATCAGAATCATCTGATTGCCCTCTTATCTGGTAACATAATAAGTTAATACAACAAACTGAGTCTTCATAGCTGAAACCATTTTGTGAGTATGTGTTGACATGAATGTTTTGGTTTCAATGTTTGGATTCTGCATGGACAGTTTTTCTGCTCCTGTATAACTCCTTCTGGTAACAAATGTAATCTAATGCTTACTATAACCAATTCAAAGAGATTAAATTTTTATAGTGACTATAGTGTCCCTTTAATTATCAGCCTAAGCACAACTCACCCTGCTTGTGACTTACGCAGCCTTCCTAAATACTTCCTGTAAAGAGTCATCTAATGTTTACACTTCATTTATTGCAAACTCAATTTAATTAAAAAATCGCTTGCTCTGTTAATAGTATGCTAGAACCTGCAGGAACCTCCTATATGTAATTAAAGTTCAATTTACGGAGCAGGAGATAAAAGCTTTTAAAGTAAGTTACATCTGGTTGAAAATGAAAACATTTTGTTTTCATGCAGACTGTGTCAGCCACAGCCATTGGATGTGTGGCTAGGACTGCATAAACAGAAACAAATGTTATTAACTCCTAAATGGCAGAGAATTGCACAGTGACACTCCAGAGGCATGATCTACACACAAAAACTGCTCCCTTAAACTAAACTGGTTTTTGTGTGACATCAGTGTCCCTTTAATTAGAAATTTCAAAAAGGTTCAAGAAATATTAAAACTTTTTTTGTTTTTATACATTTCTTTATTTTAATTTCTTTTTAGTTATATAACAAATGGTGCTATGACACTTTTACTAGGAACATAATTATTTACCCATCCGTTGTTTACATTTTTATTTACTGAGTCTCTATCTGTCCCCATATTAGCATTTTAGAAATCTGTAAAAAAGTTTTTTTTTTACTTTTACAAATGTATTAATTTCCACACCATCTTCATTCTATGCAACATTTACATGACACCTGGTGCTATATACTTACTTCTTGCAAGTGCTCAATATTTGTTACTCTGGGAATATATTTATTTTACTTTTTTTGCCCCTTGTTCCTTCACCAACACTCCTTTCTATCTTTCCATTCACAATTAACATTTTTCATATGGCTCTCTGGCTTCTTTTCTTTTATTAGATCATGTAGTCTTTTACTGTCTTTAAACCCTTAAGGACTGAGCCAGTTGTACACGTTGTGATCAAAACAAAACGTAAACAAAACCTGGAATTTGCACTATATGTCTGTTCAGGCTTAATTCACCTCTTTCATATTATGTGCACCCACACTTATTATATACCATTTTATTCAGGGGAAACAGGGCTTTCATTTAACATCAAATATTTAGGTATGGAACATAATTTAATATAAATAAAATATTTTTAAAAATGGGAGAAAATAAGACATTTTTAACTTTTTAACTGTGAATGTCATAATACCGTTTGCTTTTACTGCAGTAAAATACACATATTTGTATTCAGCGATGGCTCACGTGTAAAACAGTACCCCCTATGTACAGGTTTTATGGTGTTATCGGAAGTTACAGGGTGAAATATAGCATGTTGCATTTTTCATTTTTTTTCACATTGAAATTCGCCAGATTGGTTACGTCACCTTTGAGACCACATGGTAGCCCTGGAATGAAAATTACCCCCATGATGGCATACCATTTACAATAGTAGACAACCCAAGGTATTGCAAATGGGGTATGTCCAGTCTTTTTTAGTACCCACTTGGTAACAAATACTGGCCAAATTTAGTGTTAATATTTATTTGTTTGTGTGTAAAAAATGCAAAAAACTAATTTAATAGCCAATTTTGGCCAGTGTTTGTGACTAAGTGTCTACTAAAAAAAGACTGGACATACCCCATTTGCAATACCTTGGGTTGTCTACTATTGCAAATGGTATGCCATCATGGGGGTAATTTTCATTCCTGGGCTACCATATGGTCTCAAAGGCAACGTAACCAATCTGGCGAATTTCAATGTGGAAAAACTGAAAAATTTAACATGCTGTATTTGACCCTGTAACTTCCCAAAAGTGTAATATGATGTCTCCCGATCCTTCATTGGCAATATATTCACATATTACACAGTTCATTCTTATGTATCCCCCTCTCTGTGAATACATACACACAAATACAAGTATACTAAAAAGACAAACGTATACACCTAACCATGTATATATATATATATATATTTATCTCTATATCCATATCAAAATATTATATGAAAAGAAAATGATACAAACAATTATCTAAAGATAACAGATTAAAGAATAATCCACGCCAACATTAAAGTAGTACCTTTGCATCACTTGGGCGATCAGTTTCACTGGGGGTCAGACAGTTCTCATTTTCACTGTTTTCATCTTTCAGACATCCAGTTGGAATCATAATTACCTTCAATTCATAATTGATCCTATCAGTGACCTTCAGGAAAATTAGTAAAATGATAAATTTACCAATATGACAAATAAAAAATAAAAAAATACATACAATTAAATAACTTATAAGGTTACCTGTACCTGTAATTATTATAAGGTTACCCGTACCTGCAATTAAGCATAAGGAAGTTCATTGCAATACACACTATGGAACCCATTTTCTAAACTGAGTTTTACTGGGGCGTTATGCTGCAATAAAGAGTTTGCAGTAACTGACATAACTTTGGCAATATTCTGATGAGGCAGCACCACCTGGTGGAGTTATGCTTCCTATAGCAGAGTCATTTATGTAGGAGTGATTTCTAAACCATTCCTAAAAAAAAACTGTCACGAGATGGTACTCCTCGTACGTGTTCCCTTAATTATACTTTGTCTTGTCTAATGTTTCCCTGCATTCGAATGGAATTGTTCCCTTCTGTTCGGTTACCGAACAGATTCTGTGTGGCCCCCCTTGTTAAAAACCTCATAATCACCGACCAATCCCTGGCTGTTAACCACAAAACAAGCATTCCCTGGGTAGCCGCCATTTATATATATGAACGCACGAGTGCAAACAAATGGTGGCCACTTTGTCTCCCGAATCGGGGCAGTGGTACATGGTCGTCAACGGCGTGGAACTGTTTTCGGCTACACGAGTTCGCAAACCCTGCTGAAACTTGTCGGGCAAAACTTTGCACGAACATAACTTTCGTTTTACCAAACCGATCTGAGTGCTTTTTTGGATATGTTGTGTGCTCAGATCGGGGCTATTCGGGAATATAATTTTCGTGGGGTTCCGATGCTGTTGTCAGGTATTTTTTGTTGACGCTCAGTTATCTCTCAATCACAATGGCTTGTGGGAAGGAAATCCCTGTGATTTTGTATCACAATGGCTTGCCTGGGAAGGACCTTACGAAGTTGTAGAAAGAAGGGGGCAGACCTCTTATTTAATTGCCAAGGGAGCCCAAGTTTAGACCCAACGCATATGTCACATAAATGCGCTTAAGGCGCACTTAGAATGTGCTGCAGATATCGCTGTCATTTGCATGCCATCCCATACCGAGTCAGGGGGCCGACCGATCCCAGACCTACTGCCTGAAACCTGGAATGGGAATGACCTCTTGCAGGTTCAACTAGGACCCCTACTTAGCCCTGAGGAGCAGTCCCAAATACAAGCTGTCCTGCAGCAACAACCCCACTGGTTCTCCACACGGCATGGTGCTACCACCTTAGCCCACCATGCGGTTGAGACCCCTGGTCAGGCTTCCCTCCGCCAAACCGCCTTTATGGTACCCGAGACTGTCAGAGGGCATATTCATCAAGAGCTCGACAAGATGCAAGCCCTCTGCATTATAGAACCTTCTTACAGCCCCTGGTCCTCTCGCAATGTGTTAGTGACCAAAAAGGATGGAACCACCCAGGTTCTGTGTCAATTATAGGCGGCTCAATAAGAAAACCACTACCGATGCCTATCCCATGCCCGGGCACATGGGCACACTGGTGCAAGAGTTCCGTGAGGCACTACGAGAAGAACTGGCTGGCCTATGTACTGACAAAGAAAACAACAATATATGTGAACACAACCCCAGTGAAAAAATATATATAATTTGAAGCAAACCGGGACTTCCCTTGTGTTAAGGTGAAGTATCCAGATGGATCCCCGAAGACTTCCTCTTGTCTTCAATAGATATATAGAAATAGAATAGGGGACAATCTGCTAAATACAAAAATAAACAAACATAGCGTACAACTGTGTGGGGACTGGTACTGATATGCAATCACAATTGGTCACTCACAAATTTATGGAGTTAAAACAGCCTTGAATGGTATCTTTCAGTATCCAATATGTTGTCCCTCCTCACATATTCATCAGCGAATGGGTGTATATGTCTCAAAAGAAAAAAATTATACAGAAATGTAGTGCACTTCCACAGTATAATAAAAAAGTATTTTAATGACTTACATTTAAGTATAAAACAAACAGCATGTCACCATAAGACGTCCTAAGCGTTTCGTCCTAGGGTTGGACTTCCTCAGGGACTTGGTGAAATAAAGTGCAGTCAAAAGATAGCAGCAACAATAAAAATATCCCTCCCACAGTCCTTTATATACATCCCCATTTGATATTGAAAGTCTTTCAGCTGGTGTTCGATTTTCGTTTTGGCGGTATGGAATCGGATGACGTCATCGCGTACGCCGCGTGCGTTCCACCTTGCGTTTCACAGACCCGGAAGTGGGTCGCGATCGCTGATCTGTCTTCCTTGTTCTAATACACTGACTCAGGACATATATAGATGGATGGACAAAGCGGGAAGGGGGAGGGAAAAGCAATTAAAATAATTCTCTGGATGGCACTACAATAACAAAATAAAAAATCGGACAAATATGTATTCACAATACAATCTGTGGTTATGGACATATATATATACATCCCGTTTTTATAAAGTGCAAGTTACACAAAGCATACATTCTCTTACATATTTGACATATACAAACCATTCACACAATTTATGTGACACATATGGAGAATGTTTTTTTACACAAAGTGCATAGATGGTAATATAATTTAACATTTTATATAATTATAATGCAGTGAGCATTATATATACATGTGTATGAACAATAATATAGTTGGTGAAACCCATTTGCATTGCACTTTTGTCTCTTTCTTCTTAAAGGTAGATAGAATGAATTTATGTCTTTAAACAACAATAAAAATAAAATTAAAATAAAATTAAAATGAAAATGAAAATAAAAATAAAAAATGGAAAAAATTAAAAAATAATAATAAAAAATAAAAAAATAAAAATAAAATAAAAAATAAAAATAAAATAAAAAATAATAAATAAAAAATAAAATAAATAAATAAATATTTTTTATTATTCATGGAATTAATTTTTCATTCATTCCATTTTTTAATTTTTTTATTTTTTCCATTTTTTATTTTTATTTTCATTTTTATTTTATTTTTATTTTATTTTTATTTTTATTGTTGTTTAAAGACATAATTTCATTCTATCTACCTTTAAGAAGAAAGAGACAAAAGTGCAATGCAAATGGGTTTCACCAACTATATTATTGTTCATACACATGTATATATAATGCTCACTGCATTATAATTATATAAAATGTTAAATTATATTACCATCTATGCACTTTGTGTAAAAAAACATTCTCCATATGTGTCACATAAATTGTGTGAATGGTTTGTATATGTCAAATATGTAAGAGAATGTATGCTTTGTGTAACTTGCACTTTATAAAAACGGGATGTATATATATATGTCCATAACCACAGATTGTATTGTGAATACATATTTGTCCGATTTTTTATTTTGTTATTGTAGTGCCATCCAGAGAATTATTTTAATTGCTTTTCCCTCCCCCTTCCCGTTTTGTCCATCCATCTATATATGTCCTGAGTCAGTGTATTAGAACAAGGGAGACAGATCAGCGATCGCGACCCACGTGGCGTACGCGATGACGTCATCCGATTCCATACCGCCAAAACGAAAATCGAACACCAACTGAAAGACTTTCAATATCAAATGGGGATGTATATAAAGGACTGTGGGAGGGATATTTTTATTGTTGCTGCTATCTTTTGACTGCACTTTATTTCACCAAGTCCCTGAGGAAGTCCAACCCTAGGACGAAACGCGTAGGACGTCTTATGGTGACATGCTGTTTGTTTTGTGTCAATCATTTTTATTGAAGGTAAATTTTTTCAAAAATTCCGTAAGCATACGGTAAGTAAAACGGTAAATGGTACAAGACATAGATAAACGGGTAAGAGAACAATGCACATATTTTCTACTATCAAAATCTGTAAGTTGTATACGTGCGGACCCATGCCTTCGGTGTAGGTTCTGTGGAAGGTCAGTCAACCTTCGGTCAATACGACTAGTGGTTGCTGTGCTTTGTCTAACCCCGCGTCCACATGTGCACCCCTAGGTGCATGTAGAATGCTTAAGTGTCAACCCTTATAGGCGGTCAGTCATGTTAATCCCTCGGGACTTTTCGGCGTGTTGCGATCTAAATCTTCTCCCTCAGGGAGGGGGAGTGAAACTAGTTGCTCACTGGTATTTTGAGGTCAGCCTTGTACCCGTTGCCTCCTCCCTAGCCGTTATGTCTAGGAGGTTGACCCCCTTTTCGGCTGTGTCAGTATGGCCTGTCCGTGTCCTGTGTGTCGTCCGTGAACTTCGGGGTAGTGCGTCCGTCGGAGCATGTTCCAGTCGGGGCCTGTCAGCTTCAGGGTCTCCGTACTGGGTATAAGTTAAGAGATAGGACAGACAGAGGGAGAGAAAGAGAGGGAAAAAAAAACCCTACACCCCTCCCCCCCCCAAGTCGGTTCCGCTCCCCCGTAATTCATGCCACATCTCTCGAGGTATACTGCCTCCAAGGATACCACGTTAGGGCGCACTTATCCACGCGCTCTCGCAGAGAGGCCGTCAGGATCTCCATGTCGTAGATGGTCTCCACCTTGTCTATCCATTGTCTAAGTGTGGGAACTGATGGACCTTTCCAGTGCAGGGGAATAAGGGCCTTTGCTGCGTTTAATAGGTGTATTGTCAGGGACTTTTTATATGCCTGCGTTGGGGTGGGTGTATGATGTAGAAGCATTGGCAGTGGCTGTAGGGGGATGTCGTCCCCTGTGATCTCCTTGATCTTTGCCTTGATCATTTGCCAGTATGGTTTGATACTGGGGCATGACCACCAGATGTGTAGACTGGTGCCCCTTTCTAAGCCGCATCTCCAACAATCGCCTGTGTCCGTCCCCTGTATGTGTCTCAGTGAGTCTGGTGTTCTGTACCATCGTGTTAACAGTTTGTAGCTGGTTTCCTGGAATTTCGAGCTAATTGAGCATTTATGTGTGAGGAGGAATATTTTGTCCCATTCTTGGTCCGTCAGCTGTGTACCCGTCTCCTCCTCCCATCTGCTCGTGTAACCTAGTGGGCAACTATCCCCTGACTGCTGGAGCAGGGCATATAAGTATGATACCCCATGGGTTAAATGTCGTCTGTCTGTGCACAAGCGTTCAAATTCCGTAAGTGTACGGTGGAGTTGGGTTCTCCCCGTGATTTTGGCATAGTAGGACCTAACCTGGTGATAGTGGAATTTGTCGAGAATAGTAGGTTGCCCGTCTGACAATAAGTCCCCCAACGATTGAAGCGTTCCCCCCGGACTCCACTGGCGTACATAGAACCAATCTGTCCTTTGGAAATTGTGTAAAGCAGCCGGGTGAAGGCCACCCGCCACCCTCGGGTTGTGTGTAATAGGCGTAAGCGGGTTTGGGGAGGTGGTGAGTTGGTAGACATATCTTAGTCCGCACCACACCTTGAGAGTTGCGTCTATCACCGGGTTCTTTGTGTGCAGGTCGGTGTAGTTCCATGGATACCCATCTTTTGGCACTTGGCCGCGCATGCCAGTCTACTACCCTATGGAGGTGTGTGGCCCTATAGTACGAGATCACTGACGGTAGCCCCATCCCCCCGGCCGCTTTCGGTCTCTCTAGGATCGACCTACGGATGCGCGGCTGCCTGTTGTTCCACACAAACCTACGGATCGCTGTTGTTACCGAATTGAAGAACGTCTGGGGGATCCTGGTGGGTAGTGCCGCAAAGAGATATAACAGCCTGGGGAGAATGTTCATTTTGACCGCACTAATACGGCCAAACCAGGATACGTACCGCTGCGTCCACCGCTGAAGATCTTGTTGAATTGCGGAGAGGAGAGGGAGAAAATTTAGCTTGTATATCTGCGTCAGGTCCGCTGGCAGCCAAGTACCCAGGTACCTTAGTTTGGTTGTGCACCAGGAGAAGGCGAACTGGGAGCCCAGCTGACGGGCCCGCTCCTCTCCCTGCATTATCAGCATGGCTTCGGACTTTTCCACGTTGAGTTTTAGGTTGGATACCTGGTGATAGGTGTGGAACGCCTGTAAGAGGTTGGGCATGGAAATCCTGGGTTGTTCCAGGAAGAAGAGCATGTCGTCCGCATAGGCCGCCACTCTGTGCTCTTCAGACCCCACCTTCACCCCCGTTATGCCCCCGTCCTGTCTGACCGCCTCCAGAAATGGTTCAAGAGAGAGGGCAAACAGGAGAGGGGACAGGGGACAACCCTGCCGGGTCCCATTGCTAATCGGGAAGGGCTGCGTTAGGGCTCCGTTAATGCGGATCCGTGCCGTTGGAGAGGAGTATAACGCCGACACCCAAGCTCGTATAGTTGGACCAAACCCCATGTGTCGTAGGGTCTCGTCCAAATAGACCCAGTCCACCCTGTCAAACGCCTTTTCGGCGTCCGTAGAGAGGAGGACTGTGTCCCTTCCAGAGGTTCGTGCGCAATGTATGATGTTCAGGGCTCGTATCGTGTCATCCCTGGCCTCTCTGCCCGGAATAAAGCCCACCTGATCTGGGTGAATGAGATCCGGCAAGATCCGTGACACCCTCAAGGAGAGAGCTTTGGTGAATAGCTTCAGGTCCGCATTTAGCAATGAGATTGGTCTATAACTCGAGCAGTTTGATGGATCTTTCCCGTCTTTGGGGATAACCGTTACTATCGCTGCCAGGGAGTCCGTGGGGAACCGCCCCCCGTCCTGTAAGGAGTTCAGGCCTGCTAGAAGTCGGGGTAGTAGGGCGTCTCGGAAAGTTCTTAAATATGTGAGGGGGAGGCCGTCCGGCCCCGGGGCCCTGTGAGGTTTGGAGCGTTTCATGGCTGCGGCTAGTTCCTCTAAGGTTAGGGGCGCATCAATTTCCTCAGCGAGCTCCGGAGTGAGTTTGCGAGTCACATGTCGCGTTAGGTAGTCTGTGACTTTCCTACGGTGGTTTTGGGCTTCTGTCCCCTGAATTGGCCTAGCTTGGTTGTATAGGTCCCTATAGTAGGCCCTAAATGCTGACATAATGCCCTCTGGTAGTCTGGTGTGCTGTCTGTGTCCGGTACGTATCTGGTGAATATGTTGGGCTCTACGCTTCTCTCGGAGCACCTGTGCCAGGAGTCGGCCGCACTTATTCGAGTGCTCATAGAAGTGCCTAGCTGATTTCCGCATCGTGTGTAGTAATCCCTGGGATAAGTGTGCTTTGAGTGCCCTTCGTGTCTCTGTAAGTCGTAGGTATGTGTCGTCATCTAGGCTATGCTTATGTGTATTCTCTAGGTCTGCAATCCGTGCCGTGAGGTCCAATATTTGGCGAGCCCTGTCTTTCTTACGTTGCGTGCTGATAGATATAAAGTGACCTCTAATGACGCATTTGTGGGCTTCCCACAGCATCAGAGGGGGCATGTCGGGTGTGTCATTAGTGTCAAAGTATTGCGTAAGCATCTGTAGTGTCTTGGTGCGTATCTCGAGCTCTGTTAACATGGTTTCATTAAGCTTCCATTGGCGTTCGGTCGGTTTAAATAAAGGTGAGCTCATTACCACCGTGTTTGGGGCATGGTCGGACTGATTGATAATCCCTATGGAAGCGTCTCGGAGAAGCGCAAGGCTCTCCTGGGGCATGAAGATGTAGTCTATCCTACTATATTGCCTATATACTGACGAGTAATAGGAGAAATCTCTATCGTCCGGGTGGGCTACCCGCCAACAGTCGACCAACCCCATGCCAGTCAGTGCTCGTCGCATTGCGTGTAAGCCGTGCTCTGGGACAGTGCTGGTCCCTCTGGTGGTGTCCACCCGGGGGTCCAGAGGAACGTTAAGATCCCCTGCCAAAATCAGCAGGCCAGCCCTGAATTTTTCTAGTTTGGCCAGTGTTTTGGTAAAGAATTTATGCTGTCCGCGGTTAGGGCTATAAATGCTTGCAAAGGTGTAGGTGTGGTGTGCGATGGTGCCCTTCAAGAAGATGAACCTCCCCCCAGGGTCTGTCATGGTGTCTATGTGGTGGAACGGGACTATGCAGGAGAACAGAATTGCCACTCCCGTTTTCTTAGACTCTGGGTGATTGGCGTAGTACCCCTGTGGAAAGCGTCTATTCTCAATCTTCGGAGAGTCCTGACCCCTAAAGTGCGTCTCCTGCAAGAGCGCCACGGACACCTTTTCCGCCCATAACTGCCGCAATAGTTGGGACCGTTTCTCCGGGGTATTTAGGCCCCTCACGTTATTAGACCACACTTTGAGTTGTGCGGGGGCGAGACTCCCCCCGTCCCCTCGGGGTGGACGTCCCCCGCCCGCCTCTGTCTGGGAAGGCATTGTGTAGATGACTATACGTGGGCGCGGGGAGAAAAGGGAGGGTGGGGGAGAGATGCAGAGACAGAAAGGAGTGGGAAGGTAGGAGAAGAGAGGGGGGAAAAGAGAAGAAGAGGAAGAAGAAGAAGAAAAAAAAAAAAAAAAAAGGGGTTTGATAGCAACAATGAACCTTGGTCGGATAGAGTTGTTCGGCAGCTACTCGACTGTAGTCCTACCGAGCTCCGACTAGTTTGTACACCACGGGTCCGTTGCGTGGGGTGTGAGCGAGGTCGCCTGCGGCGCAGAACAACCTAGTGTGTGTGTCTGGTCCGAGTCCGTCTCCCGGTGCTCCCAACCCGCCAGTCCAAGTGTCGAGTTGTTCCCGTCTCGTGGCCTATCCGTGTATGGTGAGTCGGTCTTCTCGAGTTGCGCCCGTGTCCCCTGTCCTCCCTGAGCCTAGCCCTCGTGATGTGTGTGTGGTCTCCTTCTAGTCTCATTTGTCCGCCGTCAGCGTTCTACCCCTTGTCCCGCAGGGAGAGTATATGGACCGACCTACCCCCTCAACCCCCCCATCATCCAGATTCTCCGTCCTACCCTCTCCCGCCCTGCCAGATTATCCGTCTCCCCCCCCTCCGAGGACGCACGAGCCTTCTGGCCCTTCCTAGACTTTAGTAGTGCCACTTGTAAGTAATGCTGATTGGTTCCAGTGCCCTGTTTCGGCCTATGTACGAGTTCCTCCGTGCGCCCCCGGGTGCCCGGTCGTCCCCCCTCTCTACCCCTCTCGGCTCTGCAGGGGTCCGGGCGTAGACCTTTGGCCCTCGGACCCGGGAGGGTGTGACGGGTGCGCTTCCAGCCCCCCCCCCCGGGCACCGTCATGGCTCCCTGGCCCCGATGATTAACCCCTTAGGAGTCTCGCCCCACCTCCCCACAGGCCCCGTCCCCACTCCAGGTCCTGACAGGCTGTTAATAGCCAGGGCTATTGCTAATCATGGGGGGCCCAGCCGGACCCCCCCTGGCTCTGCCCTCTCCCTATGGCATGTCCAATAGAGCGGGTGCTCCTCTCGAACCCGCTCTGCACCTACTGAGGCCGTGTGAAGTGGTGGTGGCTAATTCCCTTCTATGCTTCCACTTTGCTGCCCCCACATTTCCCGTCCCCCACCCAAGTGCTGAGTTCCCGGGGGTACGGGTCTTAGAGTGAACATAGGGGAGTCCCAGGCCCGGGGAAAAGAACTGTACATACCCCGGTTGCTCAGTTTCATGTCCTCAGTTAATCCATGTTTGCCTACGGGCAGGTGTGCACCTTACCCACGGGGAAGGACGTGGGGGTCTCGGGGTTCCCGGTCCGCGCAAGAACCCCTCCAGGGGCGCGCCCTCGGGTGCATACAGACTTCCTACTCCTCCGCGGTGCTGGGCCCGCTCCGGTGCGTCGAGGAGCCCCGCGGGGCACCATCCGTCAGGTGTTCAGCTGGAACTGTAGGGCCCGTGGTTCTGGTCGGCGGGTTATCAAGGATCCAGTTAGGGACGGGAATCTCAGGGAGGCCCGCTGCTCGCAGAAATCTAGGCACGTCATTAGGCCAGCGGACCGCTAGCCAGCGGTTCTCAATTCTTGCCTGCAGGCTGAACGGGAATCCCCATTTGTAAGGAATCCGCTTCTGCTGTAGGAGGCCTGTGATGGGCTTCAGCGCTCGCCTGGCATCGAGGGTGAGGGGAGACAGGTCCTGGTATAGGGATACATGCGAGTCCATGCAGGTGATGGTGCGCAGTGCCCTGGCCGCTCTCATAATACTTTCCTTCAGTTGGAAGGATTGAAAACAGCACACCAAGTCCCTGGGGAGGCCATTTCTCCTTGGTGGTCGAAGCGCCCGGTGGGCACGCTCTAATCCAAAATCCGGCGGAGCTTCTTCCCCTAGTAGTTGTGTGAACAGGCCCTCCAGGACCTCTCTTGGGGTCTCTCCTTCCGACTCTGGCAGGCCTCTGACGCGGATATTGTTGCGCCGTCCGCGGTTCTCAAGGTCCTCCACCTAGCGTCTGAGCTCCAGGAGGAGGTTGCCCTGCCGCGTGGTAGCCAGATCTGTGGCCCGTTGGGATTGTTCTGACTGCAGCTGTTGGACCTCTAGGTCTCCCACCCGGTGTTCTAGGGCGGTGAGGTCACGCCGCACAGCAGCCACCTCCTCCCGGATAGACGCGCGGAGTTCTGCCACCAGCTCTTTCTTGTCTTGCCTGGAAAACATATTTGCCGAGATTGCCGCAAGTTCAGCTGACATCTGAATGAGGGCGTCTCTCCGTGGGGAGTCTTGTGTGGAGCTCGATCTGCTAAGTGTTCCTGGCGATCCAGGCGCCATTTTGTCTGGGCCTCGTGTGCCGGCCATACATTGTGGGGTGGACAGATACTCGTCCATCGGTCCCGATTGCTGCGACATGGCGGTAAGTTGTGGGCCCGGGGCAGTCCCCTTCCTCGGTTTACCCATTCGGACGGGAGTGGTAACGCTTTTAACACGGGCTATGGCAGGGTTGGGGCCCGGGAGCTCTCACTGCCTGCGTCCTACTCCATCGGCAGCCCAGCCACGCCCCCTCAGCTGTAGAGATTTTATTGCAGTTAACAAATCTTTTCAAAGTACAGGTCTGTATAAACTCTCTAGAATAAATAGTTTGCAATCTTCAATATCTGTACATATTTGTATCATATTGTATATAATCATAAATTGGTGTGAGCAAGTGTGGTAAATTACCAAACTCTATAAATTTTTATGTACGCATACACATATAAACTCTGGTCCGTCTACTTTAACAAATATTTATTCAGAGACAAAACAACAACAACATACAAATAATGACACACAATCTAACTAACTATACCACCAACAACAGCAACAACAACCTAACTAACAATAACAACTACATCTTATAAAATCCCACTCACAGATCACCATTATAGAAATTAGGCCGTGTCTGCTAAAGGGACTGCTCAGTAGCACAGCCAACAAGTAACAGGGAGGAATGGAGATAGGGGGAAGTTGTTACCTCTTTCCTGACTTGTAAAGGTATTGAATTACCCAATTACCATATCAAAAGGTAAAGTTTATCCCACTGTAAGAAAGGCATACATGAGCTTGGTCACATGATCCCTGGTCACCATATTAGTTTGATGACAGAATGTCACCACAGCAAGTACCTCTAAGTTAAAGGAACACAGCATTAAAGGACACTACAGGCACCCACACCACTTTATCCCACTGAAGTAGTTTGGATGCAATGTCCCTGTCCCCTTACTCTGCAATGTTAATTATTGCAGTTTCTGATCAACTGCAATAATTACATTGCAAGGTTGAGACTGCCCGTTAAGGCGCTTTCTGGTTGCTAGGCGCCTTTTGGTCGCCTAACTGACATTGGATGTCCTCATGCTGGATGAGGACATCCAGTGTCAAAAAAATCCTCACAGGAATGTATTGCGTGTTTTTTTTCTACGGGGAGTTTTTTCAACGTTGGGTGACGTTGGAGGGGGTGGAGTGTTGACCCAGCACAGAGGGAGATCTGGGCTAGAATTGGATTAGTACAGTAAGGGTTTATTAACCCTTCCACTGCTGGGGTGGGGGAAGGAGCTTTAGTGCTAGAAACACCATTTTTTAATCCTAGCACTATAGTATCCCATTAAGTAATAAAAAAAAACGCTTTCTAGCTACCTTATTCCCCTGGTACAAAGATCTCTGGAGGGAAGCATTGGGGATGCATTGCTTAAATGCATCTCTATAGGGAGTGTTCAGTATTGCAGCATCGCAACCAGGAAGGACCTTTAGTGGATGTCTGAATCACTGCCACTAGAGGTGGTCATAGGAGGCAATGTAAACACTGTATAGTCACACAAAAGGTAGTGTTTGCAGGGAGATTCTATTTGAACCAAAATCCCTACATTAAGCTGTAATGGTTCTGGGGCCTAGAGTGTCCCTTTAATCACAATAGTACAATACACCGGAGTATTGTCAATACAGATGATGCTGGTTGTTCTCACACAATCAACAATCAAACAAATGAAGCTTAAAACACAAATAAATGCTTGCATTAACACACCTGCAAGCCTGAAATAGTTAACACAGCGTTGTCAGAGTTACGTGCTCTTCATTTTGCCTCCATTTAATAACCTCTCCATCATTGGAATGTCCCTCCTGATCCTCCTCCCTTATTGGGCTTAATATGGTCAATAAATAAGCCTGGAAACATAGGTCGGAGGCTTAGCAAAGAAGTAACCATGGAGACCAGGGCTGTGAAGAAGCCACTTATCAATCCTTAACGAGAGGGCTTCCAAGTTGAACACAAATACTATGCTCCCAGCACCAATACATTGTCTCTATGATACTTCTTAGCAACAAGGAAGGCGGAGGGTGAATCTTTATTGAGTCTGAATCATAGCTGCGGGCTTTAATTCCTGCTTAATAGACAGCAATATAACAAATCTTAAAGGAGATGTTATTTACTAAAGTTTACACACATATACACTCTATCTATCTATCTATCTATCTATCTAGCTATCATCTATCTATCTATCTATCTCAGATACTAACTGCCAGACAGATATACATTAACACATACAGTATAATTCTCAATGCCACATATACTGACAAACATGCACACACATGACTTACAGCCATCCACAGGTATACATACACACCCCCATTGTCAGACTCACAAACACTACCAGACTCACACATATACACACTACTAGACACACATACACAAGCAGTGAGAGACAGAGACATGCACAAAAGCAAATATTTAAATTTAAGATGTTTTAGTCACCCTTTTTTTTGCCAACCTTTTGTCAGGTGGGTGACCTCCCTATGGTCCTGTGGGGATCCGATACAGACTGAGCACTGTGATGGGCAGTTTCTGTCTTCCTGTATGGCCTCCTCTGATAACTGGGAGGAAGAGAATGAAGCCCATGGATCAGCGCAGTCAGGGGAATGGGCCTTGACAGAGCCAAGGAGTAGGCAGGTGGAGTCTAAGATTTAGGGGTGGGTAATTAGTAATGGGTTGTAATAAGGGGTGGAGAAAGAGGGAGTATATTAAGCAGCCATTTTAGCAAGTGGCCATTTTAATCAGAATCTGCACTTACCTGTTAATTGTCTTGACAGGTCTGTGTGGTTTCTTTTCTTTTGCAGATGGCTTCGTTGGACGTGATCCTGGACGGAGTGAGAGCGGCTGTGCGAGACAAGGGGATGGCATGGCTTCAACGGCAGCTGGGGGATCCTGGGACCAGCAATAACCCCCCTGCGGCAGCGGAGCGGCGTCCGGTGAGGAGGGCGAGACCGCCCCAGCGGCTGAGTCCAGGCGTGATGCCCGCGACACGTCGGCGACGGAGCCAGTCGGCGGAGGCGGGCGGAGCCCTGGCTGTGGATGCCGGCAGGGAGGAGGCAGAGAAAACGCCGCCGGCACCATCTGTTCGACGCGGTGCCGGTCGGGCTAGGACGGCAGTCAGGCCGGTGGCGAAGGGCGGCGAAATTGGCGGCGGCCTCCAGGGTGGCCGGGACAGCGGATGCCTGTGGAGGAGAGGAAGGAGCCCAGTGGCGTCCCGGTGAGTCTGCCGCTGGTGTAACAACCGGACGGCAAGGGGGCAGGCAGGAGGATGTGGAAGGCGGGCAGACAGCTCCACTGGGGGCAGGGGGGGCTCCTAACAGTAGGGGCTCAGTGGGAACGGCCGGGGTTGGGGCCAGGCTGGACAGCAGGGGGTCAGCCGACCGGGTCACCCAGCTAGGACGCCAGAAGCAGGCCAGGGCGGCAGCGGAGGGGGACTCTGGCTACCAGGGACAGCGCAGGGACTCCCCTTTGGACAGGGTGGCATCACAGGGGGACCTGTTACAAGGGTCGGAGGTGGATTCGGAAGACGAGGTCAGGAGTGTACGGGGGGATCACGGGTGCACCTTCCAGGGGCGGCAAGGCGTCACAAACGACCCCAGGCCTGTAGCCAGCAGGGAGCGGCGCGGAGATAGCGCCAGGCAGGAAGGGACATGGAGCACCAGGGAGAGGAGCCCGTCGGCTGATAGGTGCAGTAGGCGGAGGTCAGCCTGTAGGGACAGGAGGAGGAAGGAACAGCGCAGCGCTTCTTGGTCCTCAGACGAGAGCTCCCAAGGACAGCGGTATGGCACCTACGGCCATGAGGGCCAGGCTACTAAGCGGGGCAGGTGTAGGAATGATGGAAGGGAGCGTGGGGAGGAAGGGCGGGTAGGTGGACGCACGAACAGACTACCCAGGTGTTCTTCTCCTTACAGGTCGCGGAGCGTTACACCAACGGTTCTGAGGCGGGATCAGGCGGTAAGGAGTCGGCGTCTCTTGGACACTCCGGAGCCGTGTGCGGCGGATGGAAGGAATACGACCCCGCGGCCCTCCGGGGGCTCTGGCGGTGAGTCATCTGGTACACCACACTCAGAATCACTGTTAAACTGCTTAAAGTCATTGTTAGATTCTTGGGTCAGCAGGGAGGGGGCTTCACCACAATTTTCGAGGGTGTGGGGTCCGGTGGCGGGTAATGTCTCCGCGGGACAGGCGATTGGGGCGGTGAGTGGTGACCCCGGGTTAGCCGCGTCTGGGTCAGTAGGGGGGCCGGGCGAAAAGACGGACTTATGCGGCGAGATTACCGACGCGGCGCGGCAAAATGTGCACGTTTCCTTCGCGGGCCCCTTAGGCTGTCATTTAAAGGCTGAGATGAAGGACAAGATTTGGAAAGGTGAGTTCGTGGAAGTTTTTTCCCTTCTCCCTCTGGAGGAGTTTCTTGACCTGAAAGAGGAGGACAAAAAGGACGCGAAAAAGGAGGAAGAGGAGAAAAAAACGTAGGTATAGGAAGATCCCCAAAACTTTTGCGAACTGGCTACGGGCTTTTTGTATATTGGCCAGTGTGCTCGGGGAAAAATTCCCCGACCGCTGCTCCCAACTTTTTTGTTATCTGGACGGGATTGGGGACGCATACCGAACGTACGGAGGAGTAGCGTGGTGGAAATACGATGAGCAATTCCGCCAAAGATTAGCAGCGAATCCGGGTATGAGGTGGGATCAAATGGACCTACCTCTATGGATGAAGCTGATGATGGCGCAGAAGGCTGCGCCCTTTCACGGGGTGGCCGTTGCGGTACACGGAGGAACGGCACCGGCCGGGCAAAAGAAGGGTTTCTGCTGGCTCTTCAACGAGGGCCAATGCAAGTGGGGTATGGCGTGCAGATTCAAGCACGAATGTTCCGGTTGCGGCGGTACCCATGGGGCTAACAGGTGCTTCAAGAGAGGTAAGCCGGCTACCGGGGGAGGTCTCGGCAGCGCGGCGGCCCCCGCAGCTACCGCTGGGGGCAACGCCGGTGAAGGTAGGCGAGATGCTGCCGTGGCTAAAGCGCTACGCTAACCGAGCGGACGCGGAGTTTTTGAGGAAGGGGTTTACAGAGGG